GAATCTTCAATGGCCATGCTACCTTTTTCCTAGCTCGAGATATTTCGTGGGAACTGATTCGCTTTATGTAAATTAAATACAGGGTGAGTTTTAAATGCCCCCCCCCAACTTTTGTCTCCATTTTTTCAAATATCAATCCCAGACCACTTCCAAACATTGTTGGGTAGTAAGTACTTCATTTTGACAAGGTGGTCATTTCTGGCCGCCATCTTATATCCGCCATATTGTAGGCCTATGCAAAATATTTTTTTCAAATATAAAGGTGGGGTTGTGACCCATTATTTTGAACTAGATTTATTCACCTGATTACAATGCCACAAACCGTTTAAAAAAATCTTGATCCATTCTAAAGTTATGAGGGCTTTTTAAAACTGTATTTTTAGCCCATTTTAACATTGTGCATTTACAAACTAAGACCATAATCTCAAAATAGTGCTAGATAAAGATAAGTATACACTACCAGTGATTGTCAACATATTTTCTCTTTGTTATGACTGATGTATTTTTTCGCTCGCCATCTTGGATCCGCCATTTTGAAATATGATAAATTATTTTAAATATAAAGGGGGTGTTATGACCCATCATTTCGGATTACTTTTTTAAGCTGAACTCAATTCCATGATCCGTTTTTCATTTTCATATTTTGATTTTGAAATATTCACATTTTTAACCAAATAAATGCAATATCTCATAAATAAAACTTGATAGCAAAAAAAAATTATTGCGGCATTGAGTTTGGCTTAAAAAGGTAGTTCAAAATGATGGGTCACAACACACCCTTCATTTTTAAAATAATACATCACATTTCAAATTGGCGGATCCAAGATGGCGGCCGAAAAAAATACATCAGTCATAACAAAGAGAAAATATGTTGACAATGACTGGTAGTGTATACTTATCTTTATCTAGCACTATTTTGAGATTATAGTCTTAGTTTGTAAATGCACAATGTTAAAATGGGCTGAAAATAAAGTTTTAAAAAGCCCTCATTACTTTTTAATGAATCAAGATTTTTAAAAACGGTTTGTGGCATTGTAATCAGGGTAAAAATCTAATTTGAAATAATGGGTCACAACCCCACCTTTACATTTGAAAAAAATATTTTGCATCCAATATGGTGGATCCAAGATGGCGGCCGGAAATTACCACCTTGTTAAAAAATGTAGAAAAAAGTTGGGGGGGGACAATTAAAACTCATCCTGTATATAGACTCTTTTTTTATGTTTATCTACATTGCGGAAATGTGTGTGCCACTTAATAAGAATTTTATGTTTCATTAGAAAATATGGTAAAGGTTTGGTACATTTGTCTTATGGTTTTCTGTGAAGTTTATGTAAAATGAATACAGGTAAAGAGGCTTCAAAGCTGTCAAAGAATCAAGTTAAAATATGTGTATATTGTGTTGTTAGATTTGTGTATATCTATTTAATTTAAATGTAAGGAGAGTTTATAAATAGGTACGTGTTGTAAGCACAGTTTATTTTATAAAACCTGTTAATTTATATTCATATGTTTATTTGTTTTTGTTTGTTAAAAAAGGTAAATAAACTTAGTTAAATAAAATAAATTAATAAAATAATTAATTAACTAATTTTAATTAGTTGATTAATTAAAATTAATTAATTTAAAAAAAGGTAAATAAAATTAGTTAATTTGACATAAAACAGTACAATGTAGCAGCGGTTTAGAGCTATGCCTCAGAAGAGAAATCCTAGAAGGAAACAATCTGACTATGAAGATAACGAAAATGACCAAGAACACATTAAAAGAAGCAGAAAAAATAAATACAAAAATTTAAGTAGCTCAATCAATCATTGTATAAAATACACTTTCAGTTATTCAACCTCAAGCTATTTTCTCCTTTCTACCAGCAGATTGGCCAAAATGGAAAACACGATTTCGAAGGTATCGGTCAGCAGCTGGGTTATCTGAAGAGTCTGAGAACAAATAAATCAACACTCTGCACTCTGATGTGCACATTAGGTGAGAAAGCTTGGGATTTTTGCACCTTTTAATTAGCAATTGAATCAGCACTAACATTTGAAAAAGTCTTAGATTTATTTGAGAAACATTTTATTCCACGGAGGAACTTAATCTTCGAAAGAGCAAAGTTTTTTTAAAAGACAACAAAAAATTTACGAAACAGTTGAGGAGTTTATTGTTGGTCTCGCATCTAAAGGATCTGGAAGATAGAAAAGAAACATATCGTAAGAAGTAAAAACACAATTATGATAGAAAACGTAAACTGCAAACTCTCAATCCTCTTCAGATATGAGACCCAGTTTGGATTGTGGACCTTAGGTACACAATAACATTACCATGTACACCTAATACATGGTAAAACTGTGAAAATCCTGGACAGCCCTCGTTCATATATTGTTGAAACCGAGAAAAGAAACGTGAGGAGAAATCGATTCCATCTCAAACTTGCCCCTTATTTAAAAGAGGAAAACAGTGAACAAAATTTGTCTGAGAATACACGTCAAATAGAATCATACAACTGTCCAAAGATAAATATAAATAAACCAAGTTGATTAAAGAACTGTTAAACTTAAAAGGGAGGATGTTGAAAGAACAGTTTATTTTAAAGCCCCTGTAAAGATATAAGCTTTTAATATAAGTATTTACATGATATTATTACATTATAATACTAGTATTATGTTTCATAAAAATATAAGCTTGTAAATCAAGTTATCAGAGTACTGCCCCAAAATACCAGTTATAATACTAGTGTTTACACAGCTCTTGTTTCAAAAACAATCAAAACTAAAATTATAACACAAACATTTGGAGTAATATATTATAAGCATTTTTTGACACATAAAATTTTACCGTGTATCTTCTATCAGATGTAGCAAAGTATAAATATAATAAATATTTTATTAAAACAGAGATGCAATCAAGTGGGTCAAGTGATGAAGAAGAAACAGTGGTGGTTAGAAGACCAAGAACATTTTTAAAATAGGGATTTCCTACTTTCAAATTGAATAAACTCATGAGTTTTATGAAAGGTTTAGGTTAAGTTATAAATGAAATGAATTATATTCATTGAAGTTATGAAAATTGCAATATTATTTTGAATACAATCGAGCCTGTGTTACAGAACGCAACGAATAGGAACCATGCATTAACACCCAAAGAACAATTACAAATTGCACTTCATTGGTTTGGTAGCGGTGTACAATACCATTGCATAGCAGATATGCACGGCGTGTGGAAAGGGACAGTTTGCCGTGTCATAAAAAATGTTGTAAATGAAATTAATCAAAATTTATTGATGGACACTGTTCGCTGGCCAGACGATGTAGGAGTAAATTAAATAATTCGTAAATAACGTAATAATAGCTCTGACAGTTTATTTGTTAAGCTATCAATGCATTGATAATATGCATAAAGTAATATCGCTGGTATACCTCTTACTTGTTCAATTTTTTTTTCTTCATTTCACGTTCGCTTTATATTTTGATCAAGTTAAAATAGTGCAGTCAAAATTAACCTTACAAATCATACAAAAAAATTATATAACATGTAAAATAATGCAACAGCTGACTTATAACTTATATCATTAGTCTAATATTTTATTAGTTTGTATTTTTTTTACCAAACAGACAACTACCAACTTATAAAATAAAATTTTATCCTACTAATATTATAAATGAGAAAGTTTGGATGTATGGATGTATGTATGTTTGTGACAAGTAAACACGAAAAATACTGGTCGGATTGGCTGAAATTTGGCATGATGATAGCTCACATTCCCGATTAACATATAGGCATATTCTTATCTCAAAAATACTTTTAGGCTCCGCCCCAGTGGCTCTGCAGTTCCCAATGTTAACCTTATGAGTATTTATATTTAAAGGGAATTAAAGAATTTAGCCAGCTGTTTCAACTAAAAGAGTTGGTTCTATGATATGCAAAAGCATTAAAAATTTATAAGATTTACCAACAGGGTGCAGCACTATAATTTTTTCAATATTTATGAAAACAGCTAATTTGAACTAAGCGGCAACAAAAAACTGTGATAATGAGAACTGTCAAAGTAGGATTGTTTACAGTTATGTTTATGTTTTTAATTTCGTGAATAATTTATGATATTTTGCGAATTTTTAATAATCTATCTTTCTCTATTGTCTAGGCGAAGTAGTAGAACATTATGGCTATGGTAGCTGTGTAATACTATCGCATACCGTAAATTTGAGGAAGCAAATAAATGTTCTCAAACCGTTTTTTCTCACATCGCAAACGCAAAGATAGGGTATAACTACAATAAGCATTTTATACTTACTTGCCAACCCCGTACGAAGGACGGGTACTCTGCTAGTAAGCTTATATTACTAGCTTATAATATTAGTACTTTTATGAAACAAGCCCCTGGTAATTTCTGTTAATTTATAATCATATGTTTATTTGTTTTTGTTTGTTAAAAAAAGCAAATAAAGTTAGTTTATTTGGAGTAATGACATAAAACATTGCATCCATTTAATTCTTAGTAAAATAGTACTGAACGCTTTAAAGTAAGAATAGCTTTCTAATTAAATTTTTAAGTTACAGTATTTTCACTACGCCATTTATACACCACACTAGGTTTCCCAGAAAATTTAAACCTCTAACTCACTATACAACAAAACTCATTGTATCAAAATATACGGTGAAAATTAAGCTTTGTTTCTAAAACGAATGATGAATAAGAAACAATTTCTTAATAACTAAAATATTCTCGTCCGCGTCCTCTTTCCGTTGCAAAGCATGGGTATTGGGTATAAGCAACCAGTTAAATAATACTACACAGGTAAAATGTCGCATTTTGGTGAAAAAAATATTGAGTCACAAACAACATATCATATAGGTTGCTAAAAAATAAGGTTTAAAGGTTTTGCATTTTAAAAAATGGCTGACGATTACAATAATTAAGGCTACACCTATTAGCTCAATCTATCACTAAACAGATATTTGATTGGCACCACCTGCTTGATCGTTGCATATCCAGGTCTATGAGTTGCACAACGGCTGGATAGTGTTCCCAGCATGTTGTTCTTATTGCTGTTCATGGTGAGTATAAAATGCATTGGAAACTATATAAAAAAAATTATATATATATGTGTGTGTGTGTGTGTGTGTGTAGATGTCACAGTTAATTTATTATTGTATTTCCATTTTCAATTTAATATAACAATATAATCATATCTTTGATTCGAGTGGGACATAATTGCAAACAAAGAATAATATTGCCTTGTAAATTTAAATGTTGATACTGTTATGTAAACGCTACTTCAAGGAGTTATCATAGTTTGTATTGTTTCAGGTGCTCGTGCCTTTAAAATGTGCAGAAGGGTTGACAGGTAATAGCTATTATCAAATACAGAATTATACACTCTTATGATGCACGTTTAAGTTTTAAATACCGTCACTAAAAGTCGAAAGGGTTTTAATGCGATCATGTATGAAAAAAAAAGCTTTTAAGTTGGGATGTATCAATCTGTGTAGAATTCCTAATAAAATTGTTCATGCTTTGAAAAATACCTCACGATAATTTAAAGGTCGATTAAATTTAGTCAGTAATTCAAATTATTCAAAAAGTACCATCAATTATGAAATGCATCTTTGCTTCGCTTATTAAATTAGTACACAATGATGGTTGTTATTAAATAGTATGATTTAGATCTTCCAACTATTAGTAGATATGTTCATCATTATCTAGAATCTTTCTGAAAAATACTACTTTCTGAAAACTCTTCGGATAAAAAAACGGACACATATTATATTTTAAAACATAATATGGCATTTTATGTCATTGGTTGAAAGATTAAAGTCTAATTATTACTATTATTTTCGTTGGTATATATTCTTCAAATCACTATGACTCTTTGTATTGCAGAAAAATAATTTATTGTTGAGAAATTTGTTTACAAATCGGGATTGTAGTCGTAAAATTGGATATTGTTTATTTTGATGGCTTCCGGGCCTGTTTCATAAAAGTTACAGGCCCTGTAATACAGGTAAAATCCCTGTATTACAAGTTAATGTTACAAGTTTGTGTTTGATAATTTGAGATTATTTCCTGTAAAATAACTTACAGGTGATTTTCAAGTATTACAAGTAAATAATACAGGACACTTTTAGGGTAGTGTCTCATAAAAAGTAACTCCTTTTATTAAAATAAGAACCTGTAAATTGGTGGATATTTTAACACTCTCTAAACCACCATAAACGTTTTACAAGTAACAAGTAGTGATACATTGATACGTGAAATGTTGTAGTAAATATAAAACAATGGATGGATCTAGTAGTCATAGTGAAAAGGACAATATTGTTATTATTTAGAGGCCAAACATTTTAAGGAAAGAATCGTATCAAGATGTTAAAAAATACATAGCCTACAAACATTAATGTTCAGATTTTGATATAATTTGGAGTGAATTTTATGTGTGGAATAAATGTAATTAAGATCGCAAACCATAAAGATTGGGTCATGAAAATAGGGTTATGAAGTTAAAATGTTTAAAAAAAAATGAGTTTTTCAAATATTTATCAATAATACATGGAAATTCCCAGTTTGTATTACAACTACAATGTAAATCTTAGAAAGATATTATATTGAAACATCGTTTTGCCATTAAAGGTTACCTACGGAAAAAAAATATATATATATATATTGAAAATTTTAATCTTATTTTAATGGAGAAAAAACTTGTGTAGTTTGCTTGTTATAGCTATATTTTGATCAAATTTTGAAAGTTTTTCATTTCATCCTGTACTACTATGAAGATTTGATAAAACCCCCCTTTCCCTTCCCCGTAGAAGTCAGTCTTAGTACTCGTTAAATATAATGTTACTTAAATAGGAAAAACCACGATTACTAGAATCGTGGGAAAAACATATGACTCGTTTATGGAAATATTTCAGTAAAAATCCGATCACACTAATTGAAATTTATAGTCTACTGGTTTGTTGTTCAGGATGCATTTTTCTTCTGGTTTATAGCAATAACCTAATATTACTAAACAATTTACACACAATTAACGACAATAATGTCAATACTTTCTCTTATTGACGACTATACATATTATCAAAACTATATTTAAAAATACCATTCACAGCTGTGAGTTACTGGCAAATATTACACTAAAGTTATAAGGGTCAAGTTATTTTTTTTAAACATGATTTTACAAGATTGTAAATTTAAATTTAAAAGTCCTGTAATACAGCCACTGTATTATAGGGGTTTTATGAAACAGGTCTGGTGAAAAAAATATAATTTTGTAATTAGATTACTTTTAAATTATAATGTTGACGTGTTAAATAGTATAGTCATAAACAAGGCATTCATTCCAAAACAATTGCCAATACCCATAAAATTATTAAATCACTAATTACTGACTACATTTTCTAGTTGGTGATGTTTCTACGCTGATACCCGCCTATGCTCTCACTTCCCACAATTATATAAGAACTTTTTATTCGGAAACACACAGGGTACTATGTTTCCGAATGAGAGAACCAGAACATTTTAAGGTCAGGAAGGATGAATATGTAACCAGCAGCTTTGTAGCAATCCTCTACACAACGTATAAATCTTGGGGTGGATTTGTAGCGATGGCAGCCATATATCCCGAATCTTGTCATCACAGTCTTGGAGATGCAATCAACGTTAAGGATAGCGAATTTGAAGTAATGCTAGGCGAATATAGTTATGAAAAGAAATGGGCGTACTTTAAGGACTCAAAATGTAAAGGAACTCGTTTTCAAGATAAACACTTGCCTGATACATCGTGGTATTCTCTTAGACCTCAGGTAGGTTTAGGCCTTAGTATTGCGTGTTAAATGCATGTCACTGTAATTTATCAATATTATCATTTTTTTTCATCATTACGTTGATTTTAGTGTGAATGAACATTTGAATTACTTGGGTATGAATTTGAATAAAAAAGGACTCACTGAACAGAGCAACTACACATCCTTTTTATATAATTCTGTAAGGAAAAAATTTTACCAGAAAATTGTGGACGTCTGGTAAGTCGCAGAAAAGTGGGAGGGGTCTTAATTAAAGGTCTTGACCCCAGGGACTCGGGAAAAATAGCAGAATTCCCATTAAGTTACCAGAAAACGAGATAAAACGTAAAATGTGATATAAAAAAAACACATAATGTAATGTAAAATGTAACATAAGAATAGCATTAGAAGCCAATTACTGCAGATTTTTGTTTACTTCAATACAGCTGATCGTGATTTATCATCAAGCCAGTACGCAATGTTAACATTTGGATAACTTTTTTGCCAGTCAATTCTGCAATGTATTATATAATAAAACCAATGATAACGTTACCTATAATAAATAATTAATTATATGTTTGCTGCCTTTAGCAGAGTTAAACCTATGTAGTGATTCGAATGATTTATTGAAAATAACATTTACAAAGGCAAACATAGACAAACAACAAACTATTTTTTACACAAAATATATGGCGTATAGGGATACTTATTCTGACACATATATTATATATTTCTTAGTTTGTTTAAATATTAGAATAATTTGTTTTATATTATTGAGCTTTTTAGGGACTTGTGTCCCTACAAGCCACTAGTTTCATGTATTTATTTTAAGTAATTGAGCGGAGCGAAGCGAAGCAATCGAAGCTCTTATACTAAACTCCTGCTTTTGTTTCAAATAATATTTAATAATAATAATAACAACCACTAAACAGATTAAAAATAGACTTTGGTTCCTCCAAATAGACAATTCATTTACGTGAACCAGACTTATAATTCACTTTGAATACCGCAAATAGACATTCCATTTATGTGAACCAAATATACATCTGACATTGGATACTGCAAGTAAGGTATTTAATCTTATTTACGAGGAACAGATGTAGCATTGACTTTAAAAGTATTGAATTAATATGCTAGCTCCGCTCAATATTGCAAGCAGACAACTGCATTGTACACCTAGTTTTTAATATACGTCATATGATATATTGTGATATCTTACAGGGCCCAAATGATCCTTCTGAAGACCCACATGTTGCTAAATCTAAAGGTAAGTTAGACACCTAAAAATTAATTGTAGCATTAAACGTAAATTTGTGTTATTATGCCGTAATGATACAAATTAAAAGAAGTGATTATATGTATATTTGTCTAATACCTTTGACTATCAATACTTCAATATCCAACAGTCAATGCTAATACTCTTTGTCAATCTTATCTAGGTTAAGTCAAATGTTAATACATTAGTTTATCTAAATACATTGATAAAAATACGACTTCAAATGCTCTTCTAGGATGTGTTATGTTTTAATCTTTACAATGATTTGGTGAATTGGTGATAATTTAATTAGGTAAAAGGTCTATTGGCTATTACATTTTGAGACGATAGGTTTGTATATTCCGTGTGATCAAGCTTGTGGATAAATTAGAGTGGGAGAGTAAAATTATCTAAACTTTTTAAAAGTTTACACTGTATATTTTTGCCATGAAAAATTAGAAAACAAAAACTAAAAATTGTACCTACTATAATGTAACTATATTACGTATTTTGCTAAATGCTTACTGAAATTGTTTTTATTATAAGTGTGATTGTTAAACAATTATCAATTATCAATCACTGAGATGGGGTCACCATCTAGGTGCGTATTTTAACCCAAGTATGAGTAAAGGATGAGTATAGATTGTTGTGCGAGATGATCCTTGTAGCTTAGTTACTGCCTAAAAGATCAGCCGTGCCATTTGCCAGGATCATTTGTTTAAAGCCCAATGTTCAGGGTCCAGTTTAAAGAAGGATTGAGAGAGAAGAAGTAAAATTGTAATGATTTGAACTTCAGCTGTCAGTGGTAATGAGAGGTTATAAACAAAAACGCTACCTCTGCTCGATGATATGAGTAGTGATTTTTAGTAATTAAAATACTGTTGTAGGTAAAGTAGAGTTCGCAACTCACGTAAATAATGTCAAAGACACTCGTAAAAGTTTTTACGAAAACTAAAAATTTACTACTATTACAAGGCTTTGCTTATGAGGGGAAATAACCTCAGCACATCTATATACGGTGCGAGAGTGTACTTTTTATTTGATATTAATATTTGACCGTCATTTTTTTTTAATTTCCATTACCCTGAGAAAACAATAAATTAATTTTTGACGTATTTTAACATAACCACTATATCGTATTGGGTTGAGATAGACCTATAACTTTTGCCGATACCATTATTTTGTAAATGCCCATGAAATGGTGTGTCACTTGATGTGGCTTTACATACTAATCATAATTTACTCCAGGAAAAATTATTATCATACAAAAAGTTCACATTTATAGATAGTCGGTTATACTACTTGAAGCAAATGTCATTAATACAATCAAAACAAATCGTACCGATTAGTTATGAACGGCTCGAGTCAAAAACAAACCCGGCGAGCTAAAAACACCTCCATCGAGTATAATACCTGTGATGACAACATGCACCTTAAATGGGTTTTGATTTTTTAACGATCCTGTTCTGCTCTGAGCCAGTTGGGCAAACGGATGATAAGGTGTATCAATATATAACGATATATGTATATATATAAAGGTGCGCAGAGCTTAGTATTCGTTGTGTTACCCGTTGACATGTTAAAGATGGGGTTTCTATACTTTTTCCAAACAATTAAAAACACTCAACTGATAATAGAGACTAGTTTCTCTGCCGTGCTTTGACACGGGGTGCGAATGCAGAAGAGGACAATGCGGTTCTTTAAATCTACTGTAAATAACTTTTACGCACCTACTACGGATTATAGAGGCGAAGCTCAATCGCACTTATTGCTTATATTATTGAAAATCTCTTATGTATTTGCAGTAATCTGTGTGGCATAATCAAAACTAGAAATACCATCGTAATGTGAATAGAGAAAATCCGTAATGAGAATTAAAAGTATAACTCAGGAAAATACAAACAAAAAAATACAAATAAAAACAAAAGTAACAGCTTACACATTTTCAATACTTTTAATGTGATTATATACCACCCTTTCATTACGGTTCATGCTCTTAGGGGAAGGAAGGTTTTTCGAAAGATTAATATATTTTGGACAATTTCTCATCAAGATCATAGGCCTAAATTTTAGTATGCTGTGGCTTACTGTTATCATAAAAGTTTGTGTTCCTATTAACTTTATGTATTGATTGATAATGATTTTGATTTCCAGTTGAAGACGTTCTTACTATTTCTCAACAAGACTCCTATAGTATCTTACAAAACCTCAAAATCACTATCCATTTTTTTGAACTTGGGACCAAATTCGTTTTGAAATGTTTCGAACTAAATGACGAAGAAAGAGAGAAATTACATTCCGATGCAAAGTACGTGTCTATTCTTTCCAATGATGAACAAGGTACGAACATGGTACTTATCATGACCTCTTGTGAAAATATGGACAAAAACATTATAAACGTCCAAAACAACAAAATGGAAGTAAGGTTGTCAAATGGCAATTGGGCGTATTTTGAAAACCATGAGTGCAAAGGAAAAGAATTTTCGAATAGCCAACTTCCCGTCACAGTATGGATATTGCAAGACGCAGAGGTATGATGATATTTGTTGAATTAACTTAGTTTTAACTTGAATAGCTAACCTTCAATTTAAGTGAAGAATGTATCCAGTTAACAATTGAATAGTATACAAAATTTATTTTTTGTTTTAATTGTTCATAATAAATCGATTAATATAGGCTTAAAACCCCATATAGAATGCAACTTAGTTTATACCTTTCCTATTAGGTTAAACCATTTGCTTACTACTAAATAACTTTTTTGTTGTAATTTTTGCTTATCTAGAATGCTGTGTTGTGTTGGGGAGCGATCTGGTGTAGTGGTTTGAGCGCGGGACTTCAGTCCCTAAGGTCCCGGGTTCAAATCCCGCCAAGCCACCTAAGGACTTCATGTATTCTATAGCCCCGGACTTCATCTAAGTGATAATGCCGCTACCCCTAGGTCTAGCTTGAAGTAATGTGAAATACCCCCACCGCAGCAATCCTGCAGTCTAAGCAAATTTCCATGTGCCTAATTTGATTTTCAATTAAATCTATTCAGATAACATTCGGTTTAACGAGTACCTAGGTTTCCTGACAACAGGGAGGGTAATAAAGTGTGTTTTAGTAAAATATCAATAGCTTAGAATAAAATAAATAGATTTACCAAGTTTGATCTAAATATTTCCACAAACAAGCAAACTACAACAGTTAACTTATTATCATAAGAAAAACATAGGAGTTTTTAATTTACAATTTTCTCCGTAACCAATAACCATACAAAAATACTTCCATATACGAAATTACTTGACTTTTGAAGCTCTTCAAAATAGTCTAGGGAGAAATCGGGAAATTCTATGTTTTGGGGGTCAAAAGTGAGAAAACCCAATTTTTACCCCATAAATTTCCTCATAAGATTCTGTTCCCATCATGGTGGTTCACAAACTCTAAAATAAACGTAGGTTTACACGTTTGCACTGAATTTCATCGAAATCGGATCATTTTTGCTCTAATTATCGTGCTAACGGACACATATGTATGTGTACAAATAAATGTATAAATATATACAGGGTGATTGGTACTCAGTGTGACAAAAATGCATTGATGTAAGTACAAAGTAAATTAAGGGTGATGGTGTATATTAGAGGTTCCAAGTCTAAAAATTTGCTACCCAAAGAATTATTTTAAGTTTTTAAAAAATTACCATGTTTTGGCGAATTTCCCATATAGGGAATAAGCTATTACCGTAGTACTCATGGTAAGACCTGGACCCGGGACCGATTTTTTTTTCGTTTTTAGGTCCCTAGAGGCAAAAAATAGCATCCGTTCCCACCCTGTATGCAAGAAAAATGCCAAATATGTAATCAAACTGCGCCATTTTATAAGCTTTCCAACAATATGCTACACTATTGAGGTTTAGATATGCTTTTCTTTGTCTTAGTGGTTTGAATACGAGAAAACAGGGAACTTTTTTAGTGTTTTCACTGTTCAAACTAAAACAAAAATACAAGTATTGCTTTATGGTGACTTTCTATGTTTTCTTTAAACCACTAAAGTGTACATAAGCAGACCTAAAACTCAATAGTTGTGGTTGGAAAGCTTATAAAATGGTGCAGTATACATAAATAAATATACGGTTGGTGTTTTAGGCCTCTAGGGATATCAAAATTAAAAAGTAAATCGGTCCCGGGTCCAAGTCTTACCATGAAACTAAAAGCTACTTAAATTCGCTGAAACAATCCCGGTTTATGCCTAGCGTTTTAGGACACAAAAAACTAGAAAGCTGTGAGTGAGCAGCTTTACGTAAAGCATCACAGTTAGAAAACGTGCTTACTTAGAACAAAATGTACATGGAGATGACGTCGGAGATAGATATTTAATTACATCACACTTGTGTACACATACATAAACCATGACGCATTTATTCCCGAAAGAAAGATCTTCCTGCTTGATAAGAAAAAAATTCAAACAAATGAAGGTAAATTATTGACAATGATATTTTAAGCTTAGCTTATAAACGGGAGTTTTAGTTGTATTTTAATAACACCTTTTTCTTTTCCATTTATAGGATTTTAAGAAAGAAATGGACCATTCACAAGGTAAGAAAAGATAGTTATGTCATATCCGAAATCATCTTCTGGGTGTTTTTATGATGATACGCCAATTGAAATGTGATAATTAATGCGCTAATGATGATTATTTCATACGGATTTTTAGACACTATAGTCTTATTACGTAGGTAGTCTTACTCATAGGTAGGTACTCATATGTAGTAACTTTGGACTTCAAATAAATACTGATATGTCTTCATAAAATATACAAAACCAGGTGAAACCCTTCGAAATCGACGGTTACTTTCAAGGCTTACGTTAATTCATCTAACTGCGATAAATTGGGTGAAATATACATATTTTGAGCATTTAGCATTGTTTAGAGAGTAATAAGTGTAAAAACAATAATGATATTAATTGCGTTAGTTGCCAAATTTGTTGTATCATTCAATGAATAAAATATTCCCCATACCGTACGTCATCGGAGTTATCTACTATTGGTATGTTATCTGGTATCTCTTCCTGTGGAAGTACCTTTAAATAGTATTAAAATCGTATTGGTGGATCTTTTGTAGGTAAACACTTCCGTGATTCATCAGTGTAATATGATTTAAAGAAAATATTTTTGGGAAGACATATTCTAATATGAAAGGGAGGTATATCCGGTACAGTGTCAGTTTGATTTCCCTTCGTCACGTCGTGTCAGTTCATATCGTACTTCTGTGCCAATGAATGAACCCTCTAGCATAGTTTTCAGAAATTGATTGTGGGGTTACTGATAAAGCTGTAATTCCTTGACATGGGGGATGTCAGTTAGTTGTCTCAGCCTTATCAATAACATAAAGTTGTCAATTCAATCTATCTACGGAATGTTAGGTGTAGTGGAATACTTGAAGTGAAGTTGGATTTTATTTTTGAACTGTTATTGGCCTCCTAGTTTATGCGGCTTCATTGGCAACAAATGATACAAATGACATAGCAATGGGACATTTCCACAAAAGCAAAACTACTGTAAATAGGCTGTTACGTAATATTGACGTTTACATGCATTGTTAATCAACGTATCCTGTAAAGGATTAACTTATGTGATCTAGTTTAAAAGGAATATGACCTTTCTGTCATGACAGTGGCTGTTTTAATAGTATTTTCTCTTTTTACCATATTTTACAGCCAAAAATGTCGTGTTATTTTCAATAATGTTACCAACCCAGTGCGCCAAAGTCCGTAATATAGGCAGGTGTAAATAATTTGTTAAGATGGGTACCATTTTAGGCAAAGTTTCTATGTTTGGATTTTATTAGACATGATAAGAGCAGATATTTCTACATAAATATTTGATATGTGTAGAATAATATGATAAAATGTAGGCAAAAGTGGTGAAAAAACAGACACCATGATAAAGAAGAAAATCAATTTTAAAATCAGAAAATAACATTGCAAATACCTATTTGGTAGAATTCAGTAACTCCCAATAAATCTGTGTTGTTTGAAATACAATTTAAAAATGAACAGCTGTTTCATTAAAAAGTATTATTCACATGGCCAAAATGTAAACAACTCTGTGGAGGGATCTTTAAAGGCTTCTGGGGCAGAGTCCTAAGGGATTTTGCTTAGTTTTCTTTTGATAACTCATCTACAAACCAAGACCTTTCTTTGGACACCCCTACCAAGTTTCTACGCCCATCCGTTCTCTCAAATTAGTGGAGACAAAGTTTCCAATTAAAAATTTAGATTCCCCCATGTTAATCTTATGGGAGAAACTCCAACTTTGATGGCCTGTGGGGCAGAGCCCGGGGATTTTTATTACAGGAATTGGTGAAAGGGGGCGTCTACACAAAAGATAATTTATTTTGACAAGTCGTTTGTAAAAATCCGTCCATTATTAACGGAGGAGTAGTGTTTCGTAGAAATCACCTTCACGTATTATACAGGGTCCGGCTAAAAACCTCCCCGGTTTAAGCAAGACACCACATGAGTTGTAGTGGGGATAGAGATGTGGAGGGGGTATTGTTACGTAGCGGCGCACGTGCAATTTTCATTGTTGCCATGGCTTGGCTCGGTGTGCATCGGGCGTTTGTTGTGGAGGAGTTTATTAAAAATGGCGGTTCTGTGATTTCTACTCAATGAGCGTTTCGGCTTTGATTCGAACTTGGCCGATGTGATAGTGTTCCTGATGCGAAAACGATTAGACTGTGGGTGTCAACCTTTAGACAAACAGGGTCAGCACTAAAAAGAAAACCAACTGGACGACCTCGTACTGCAATAACACCGGAGAATATTGACAACAACTTCAGGGAAAGACTTCGTGAATGTCTTAGCAATGAGGGACATCATTTATCGGACATAATTTTCAAAACCAAGTAAAGTGTACTAAGTGATGTAAAATGGCATCATATAGGCTATTTACAAATATTCAATTGTATAATAAAATCCTGATAACAAGTGAGCGTAGTTAAACATTCTCGAAGCTGTCATTGAAGGTAAGGTTTTTGCACGATCAAAAATAGAAACAAGGTGTTTGTGATCTGTTATTAGAACAAATTTTCTTCCATGACAATAGGCGAAAATTTTCTTCAACCCCCAGTGAATTCCTACTGCTTCTTTGTCGATTTGGCTTTACTTCCTTTCTGATTTTGTGAGAGTTCTTGAGGCGAATGCTATTGGTTTCTCTGGTTCATCTTTGTATCTGTGAGATAAACAAGAACCTAAGCCAGTTGGACTTGCATCTTTAGCAAGTACCAATGCTTCACTCGGATCATAATGAGCTAATATTCGTTTACTGGTGATTTCAGCTTTGATCTTCACAAAGGCATCCTCGCACTCCTTATTCTATGTTAACTTCTTTCCATGTCTTAGAAGATTATTTAATGGCTCCAGATAGGTTGGCATGTTAGGCACAAATCGAGTGTAGTAATTTGTGAGTCCTAGGAAACGTATTAGTTGAGTAAAATCTTCGGGTCTCTTTGCTTTACTTATAGCTTCAACATTGTCAGGTGATTTATGAAGAACATTCTTGTCTATAATATGGCCTAAATACTTCCCACTTTTTTTGAAGAATTTGCATTTATCCCGATTCAATCGTAAATTGTATTGTGTAATTCTTTGAAAAACCTCTTTTAGTCGACTCATAGTTTCTTGGAATGTGCTCCCTTGAATGAGTATGTCGTCAAAGAAACATACAGCACCTTCTAGTCCATGAAGAACTTTGTCCATAAATCGTTGCTGTATACTTGGAGATTCTTTTATGCCGAACATTAGGCGATTTACTTTGAACAAACCTAAATGAGTACTTATGGTTTGTATTTACCTTGATTCATCATCCATAGGAAGGTGCAAATATGCATTACTTATGTCCAAGGTGCAGAAAAAATTCCCTTTATTCATGTGTGTAAAAATATCTTCGATGCGAGGGATAGGGTACTCATCTAATATTAGTTTGTTGGCTGTTACCTTGTAGTCAGCGCAGAGCCTTACACTTCCATTAGGTTTTTTTACGGGAACAATTGGTGTTTCCCATTGCGAGTTTTCAACTTCGGGGATTATACCACTGCTCTCTAGTCTATGTAGCTCATCTTCAACAGCTTTCCTTAGAGCAAAAGTTACTTGTCGTGGTTTAATAACAATTGGTTTTGCTCCTTCGTTTAGCTGCATATGTCCTTGTTTTGAGTTTATTTCACCAATTTATGCCTTAAAAATGTCCTGAAAAGTTGTTAGGAGTTTATCAAGTTCAGGATGTGTTAGTATACGCAAGATTTATATCAGTCCAATCCATCTTGACTTCTCGGAGCCATTCACGTCCAAATATTGGGTCTACATTTTGTTTTAAAACATAGAGTTTCCCGTGAAAATTTAAATTTCTGTACTTGCATTCAACAAAACAGACTCCTACAGGCCTCATAATTTATCCAGTTTATGTTTTCATTTCCACTGCCGTCTTGAATAGACGTTTATTAAGTTCAAGTTTAAGAAAATCACTGTATGATAATGAGCTCAAAGCCGCCCCGGTATCAAGTTCCATAATCAATGACTTGCCTTCTATAGTAACGTTAATCATGAACTTGTCATTCACAGTTGGTGTTCCCACCATGTAAACCTCATGAACGTTGTCATTATCATCTTCAACATAAATTTTATTTGATTTCAACTTGTAAGCGTTCTCGCTTGCACTGCAAACCCTGTTGCGTGTAAGACAAACATTCGCAATGAGTCAGATCTTAGTACACTTCCTAAAAAATTCATGTTTAAACTTACAAGTATCAGCTTTATGTCGAGCACTACCGCATCTGTAACATTTACCTCTTAAATCTTGAAAGGTAATATGAGGTTTGATTCCATTTCTAATCTTTCTTGCTAACCCAGATTGTTTACTCAGATAGTTAACATCTTTAGTTTGTTCTGTAACGTAATGAGAGTACTTAGGTTTTATTGCGTAACTTTCCAGTTTGGATTGTTCAATAGAAATAGCCACTTCTACCACTTACTTAAATGATAGTTTATTTTCTTTTTCGTGAAGAAGCTCAACTCTCACCTCATTAACTCTTAACCCTGGAATGAATTGCATCTTCAAGAACATATCACAGACTGAATGTTCACTATTGTATCACTTAAAGTCACAGTCAATTGCCAAACATTTTAATTCTCGAGCGTACTTAGAAATTCCCTCTTTAGTATCTTGAACTTTAGTGATTAACCTATTTTGATTAGCAAGTACACTTGGAGCAGGTTCCATACATTTTTTCAGTCTGATAGTTCTTCATGCAATTTGTCACCTGGTGTCTCAGGAGCAATTGTATTGTGTCCACTGAGCTATAATTCTAACTGGAGGTAGCACTGAATGTCAAAGATGCGTGTCGCCAGCCGCCATGTTTGCGTGAGGTGGGTGTCCATAAGAAGCCATATTATTGCTATAACTATTATTATACTTGGCTTAAAATACCTACTTTGTATGGTCACCATTTCAAAGAAAATTATTAAAGTATTAAAAGTATTCAAGTATGACAAAAATACTCACTGCTATACCAACCTAGTTATAAGAAGCCATGTTATTGCTATGGTAAGAAAACTTACTGCTATACCAACCTAACAAAATCAGCAACTCGCTTTTGACAGACTTCTGCCATGGCAGTGCTACCTCCAGTTATAATTTTAGCTCAGTGATTGTGTCACATAATGCCTGATGCATTTCGAGTGTAAGAGTACTAACAAACAGAAACAGCAGTTGTGTTTTTGTTTTGGGCTCTGTGATTTGTTTTGGATCCATTTGGATCCAAGACATTTTTTAAGCCGCATTAGGATATTCCGAAAGGTTTCATTTTCTGTGTAGAGTGTGAAACTCGCATTTGGTATGTTCAACTTATAGGGATTTTATTAGAAAAGGTTTAAATACCTGCTATAAAGCAATCCAATTTTGTTGTTAGCACAACTAGTTTCGGTGTCTGTGTGACACCATCATCAGGCTGCACAAGGACAGTTTTCTTTCTTCATACGAAGAGCGTCATATTTACACGAAAATAAATAAACATTTAAACACGACACAAACACGAATACGAGACATTATGGTAACTGATCAGTTAAGAAAACAGACGACGCTAACCTGGCAGAGTTTGAGTCCAGACTGCAAGTGGTCAGTGCAGTGGTGTACGTCCGTTATCTTATCATCCCAGGTTGCGTCCTGTCAATCACACCTCCCCTCTCCATTAAACCGATGGCAGTGTCATACATAAAATTAGACGAGAAAAATTGTTGGTCATTTAGTACATTATGGTGGTCGGATTTTACTGCCTTATATATCTCAAACTCTTCTAATGTGTTAAGTTTATATCCTGTCTTTAGAAAAATGTAGAATATCCACATTGCTGCTAATGTTGGTATAATTGTGGCCTTGGGATATTAAATGTTCGGCAAAAGATGATGTTTGGTGGGCTGTTGACCCTTTTGGAATATGCTCTTTGAATCGTTTTGTTTGGCCGATGTAATATTTAGTACAATCGGTGCAATTGATCTTGTAAACGCCAGTTTTATCAAAAGATTGCGTCATCGTGGGGCTGCGTTCCTTTAACAATGAACCAAGCTTGTTTTCTGTTCTAAAGGAAACTGTGATTTTTTGCAATGAGATTTTTATATTTATTGCTCATAAAGGTGCCAAATTTTGCAGAGATGAAAGTGTTCTGTTTATTAGTTCATGTTTTATTTTTATGTTTGTAGATGAGTTTATCCACTATACTACTTGGATAACCATTTGATACGGCTATATGTTTTATTGTAATTACTTCTTCGTTGTAGTCCTGTTCATTCATTGGAATTGTTAGCAATCGGTGTATGAAACTGTTATATGAAGCTAATTTTTGTGAATGCGGATGATAGGATTTTGAGTGAATGGTCTGGTCAGTGCATGTTGGTTTCCTGAATATTTTAAACTCAAATTTATTTTCATGCTTTTTTATGGTGAGGTCTAGAAAATTCAAACAATTATTGTTTTCTTCTTCCAATATGAACTTCATGTTGCTGTGAATACCACATAAGTATGCGTTGAGTAACGATAACTGTCTACTGTTTCCGTTGAACAAAACAATAGTGTCGTCTACATATCCGAAATAAAACAGGATCTTTCCTTTGTAGCGGTTGGAATCAGAAAATAAATGTTTATTTTCCAGGTTGTTCAGAAAAATCTCTGCTAAAATACTGGAGAGAGGGGAGCCCATTGCCAGCCCCCCATTGACAGCCCTTCTTTCTGGGAATAATAGCCATTGTTGAATCTGAAGTAATTCTAATTAAGCACTATTCTTGTGAGTGAAACTAACTCATTTACCGACTCTCTGGATAAACTTGAGTTTTTAATGAGCTTTTGGTGTAGGAGAGCTATTGTTTCTTGAACAGGGACGTTGGTGTACAAATTTACGATGTCAAATGATGCCAATTTGTAGTTATCTTTAACAGCATGGTTCTTAATTCTATCAAAAAGTTCAAGGCTATTTTTTATACTATGACTATTCTCCAATAAAATTTGGTCCTTTATTATTTTATCTAGCTTCTTGGCTATTTTGTAGGCTGGACTTGGCATAAAATTTACCAAGGGTCTGATGGGGACGTCAGGCTTATGGATCTTGGGGAGGCCTCTGAGTATAGGGGCTTGTGGATTAGTTACTTTCAATGAGGTGATTTCGCTTTTTGATAAAAGGTTTTTACTTTCTGAAATGGCTTTATTTATCAAATTGCTGTAATTTAAAGTCAGATCTTTATTTAAAGCATGTATTTTGTTAGCGTTCAAAAACGTTTTTACCTTATTTACATAATCGTTTATGTACATTACGGGATTGCTTTATAGCAGGCATTTAAACCTTTTCTAATATTATTTGGCAATCCGGAGGCTAACAACTACAATGAAGTTATAAGGATTATTTAATTCGCTAGAATCGTTCCTTTCTACTTCTGTTTGCCTGATAGTTGTAAAGAATAGTTGTAATAAAGCTCTTGCCTCGAGGTACGAAAAAAATGTATCTCCTTCACACACTATCAAAAAAATTACTTATTAAAAAAATTAACATAAAACACAATTTCACTTTGACAGTTCTAATTTTGTATGAGAGCTGCTTGGTTGATATTAGCAACTGTTGTCATAAATTTAGGCAATTAATATTGCTGCACCCTGTTGGTACATCTTGTAACCTTTTAATGCTATTGATCATCACAGAATCAAATTGTTTAGTTGAAACAGCTATTAAGATTCTTTAATTCCATTTAAATATGAGTACTCATAAGGTTAACATGGGAAACTCCAGAGCCACTGGGGCGGAGCCCTTTTGACGGATCTGCACCAAACCTCACACGAACTATCCTTGAATAATGCTTAATAATGCCTGAGAGTTTCATTACAATCTGCCGAGAAGTTTCGGAGTCTATAACGTTCAAATATACAAACTTCCTCTTTTATAAATATAGATACACGTGAATTAATTAGTAAAGTAAACTTTATTCTAGATAAAATGTAAACAATTACAAGAAAAACAATAATAATCATCTAATTATTTAAGCATATGACAAATACTCTGCTAAACATTCAACAATATTGATATTCTCCTGGGACTCCTTTAACGTAACAAAAAGGGCATAAAGGGAATAGCTCAGATTTGTAAGTTTTATGATAACACAGGTATGTGACATAAACTAAAATGAAATAAATAATAAAAGTTACACCTTTTTACCGTATCTTTTAAGAACGAATTCGGTATTTAAAGTACAGTAGATATGGATGTCCTAAGTAATAACCAATTGTTTAGACAATTCCATTAAACACGTTTAGATGTATATTTTTAACTTTATACGTTTTACTATTTTTTCAGTTTTGGCTGTTTTCCCCGATCTCTCAGAAACTTGGATGGCGGAAGTCAAAAGACCAGTTAAGTTAACTGCGTTTTACAAGGAATTTGTTCTGAATTGCTATGAGCTTGAAGATGAGAAAATTTACGGATTTAAATACAATAACAATCGAAAAGCAATAACTTCCAAATACGTAGCGACGATTGAGAATTTACACGGAGAATTAAAAGTGAAATACTTGCTCTCTGCTTTGGTTATGAAATCATGTGATAATATGGACAGAAACATTATAAACATAGTAACCGAAGATAACAGTTACCCGTGTTTGGAGGTAGCTGTGTTGGGGCAGCCGAGGCTGTTCTTTCGTCTTAACTGTCGAGCTGTACAGTCCGATCCCTCTATGAGGTTTCCCTATTCTAAATGGACATTGCAAAAGCCTGAAGATGTCTAGGATGAGCCAATGCATGAGTAGTTGGGCCTGCATACCCTCCTGGCCTACAACCGAAACAAAACATTACCTGGTTTGATCAGTTAATCAGCTGAATATGAGACATCTTTTAATTCATTAAAATACACCAGGTAAAAAATTTACAAGTGTAATTTATTTTAACATCTCCCTTTTACTTTTGGTTATAGTTTTTTATGTAAATATCAGTGGTTAAGCATATGCTTCATCTATCGCAATGTTTCAATGCAAATAGATTAGGTTCTATCACAGTTTAGTGCAACAGATAATGGCGCGTGAGTAAATAAAATAGTAGTCTAAATACTATACAGCCGCTTATGTAACTCACTCAGGTATACAAATTCTAGCCCACTTCTAGATGTGTTAGGGAGTTGAAATTTGGCACACTTGTAGTTCTTGGCCCCAAACCACCCAAAAAATTCCAAAAAGTCGCATTTTCAAATTTTAAACCCCCCAAAATTTTGAATTTCCCCCCCATGTTATTCTTATGGGGAATAACATTAAAAATGGCCGACTTTGGTGTGCCCATCTGAACCACTTAGAAACGTGATAGAGACTTGACATTTGCGTAGTATTGTACTATGGGATCTTAAATTAACGGTGAATTTTGCAAAAGTCCCATTTTCAAATTTTAATTACCCCAAAAATCCAAAATTGCGGACCTCTGAAAACGACAAAACACGTTTTTTTTCAAAGGGCTATAGCTCGAAAACGAGCTAGAAATGATTTGAAAGAATTTTCATGAACAGGAATTAAATTTTCTACTAGACACTATTAAGCGTTTTTCGAAAATCGCACTCCTTAACCATCAAAAAACGCCTACTTTCAAAATTTGGTAAATTTTCTTCAATTCTTTAACGGTTTTTGCTATTTTTTCGTACCTAAATAATTATTTTTTGCAAATATTATTAATGTTTCGTACTTTCCTTAGTTTACTTTACATTTCACCCTTTACATGTTTTTTTTCGTATTTTTACTCCTTGACCCCCCAAGACTTAAGTTTAATATGAAAATTTGATTGGTTTTTACCGCTTTTACCAGCCCCATGTTATTCTTATGGAGAATAGCTACAAATACATAGAGCTCAAAAACTGTAAGAGCTAGAAAAGATTTAAAAGAATTTTCATGGTCAGGAATAAAATTTTCTACAAGACACTACTATGCTTTTTTCGGAAATTGCACTCCTTAAGGTTCAAAAAACGCCCTACTTTCAAATTTTTTTTAATTCTTTCACATTTTTAACGGTTTTCGCTATTTTTTTATACCTAAATAATTCTTTTTTAGAAATATTGTTAATGCTTTGTATTCTCGTTAGTTTACTTCAAATTTTACTCATTGCATGTTTTTTCGTAACTTTACTCCTTAACCCCCAAAAGGTGATTTTACCACTTTTACGAGCCACATGTTATTCTTATGGAGAATAGCTATGAAATTTAAAGACTTTGGTATGCTCATCTGGTTTGTTTTGAAACATGTTACAGACTTGAAATTTGGTAATATTGAAGTATAGGATCTTTAATTAACGGTGAAGTTTGCAAAAATCCCATTTTCAAATTTTAACCCACCCAAAAATCTAAGATGGCAGACATAAAAACGACAAAACAAGTTTTTTTTACGGCTATAGCTTGAAAACGGTAAGAGCTAGAAAAGATTTGAAAGAATATTCATCGTCAGGAATTACATTTTCTACAAACACCTCTTAAACGTTTTCCGAAACTTTCACCACTTCACCCCTAAAAAACGTCCTACTTTCTAAATTTTTTAAAATCATTTTAAGTCTTTTTTTGGTTTTCGCTACGTGTTCCTACCTTTGCGATTTGTTTTTGCAATTATTATTAATGCTTTGTATTTTCCTTAGTTTACCTTAAATTTTACACTGTACATGCTTTTCCGTAACTTTACTCCTTAACCCTTAAAACTTAAGTTTAATGTCAAAATGTGAAATATTTTTACCATCTCCATAACATTTACAAAGTTTTAAAAAGACTCTTTACATGTTATATGGGCACAAGGGTACTAAAACTATACACACTTTACTGTATTAGAGCTAACACCAAGGTGAAAATAAAATGAACCATATAAAAATATCCCTCCCCCCCCCCTCCAAAATCGATTTCTCCCCTTATATCTTTCCTATAGTCACTACAGGTGCATCGGTCTAAATCACGTTTACCCATTTATAGATTAGCTGGAGATACTGAAATTTGGACCGATTTTAGGTCTTGCACCCTTTTCGGAAATTGACATTTTAAAATAATAATAACCCCCTCCCAAAATATTGACTTCCCCAATGTCATTCCTACAAGTGTATCGGTTTAAATCACATTTAGGCTACTCACTTCAACACAAACTGGAGATCTGAAGTTTGGCACGATTGTAGGTCTTTAGGTCTTGCGTCCTTCTGACGTTTTACAATAACAACCCCCCCCCCCCCCGAAATATAAAATTTCCTCTCCCCCAAACAAACTAGACAATTTTTAAAAGTTAAATTTTCCTATAATAACCCTTTTCCCTTTTTAAGAATTTCCCCCAAGATATTCTTACGGGAAATAACGTTTTAAGCTTGTGGGGAACAAAAGCCTTGTAAAAACTACTTTTCGGTAATAACCATCTTACAGTTATTTTTATTTTATTGCCTTCTTGACTTCTTTGCGCTTCTCGGTGTTGGCCTTTCACCCCCCCCTTCCAAGTTTTGAATTCCCCCCTTTTATTTTTATAGCGAATAAGTTTGAAAGTGGCTGTTAGATATTTGTTACTAGAGATTTTAAATTTGCCAAGGATGTAGTAAGTAATCTAATAAGTCAACACCCCACAATGGGGGACTGGGGCTAGACTCTAATATACTAATGACGACTAACAGCTAGGGGGCCTCCCCAGCGAGCCAAAGGCGAGTACATGATATAACACTGTAAATGTAACATTATTTCAAAGAAAAACGTGCAAATGAATATAAACGAGGTTTTATCTCAAGAATTCGTTGTATCTCAGTAAACAAATAATCATCCTGTGTTTTTTTTAGCGAAGTAGCAAATTAAAATTAATATTAAATAGATTTCTTAAGATTATTATATATATATATATATATAGTAACAAAAACATCCCTGTCGCAGCAATCCTGCAGACTAAGCCAATATCCATCCGTCTGAATGCATTTTACTATTATAGGAATATACCTTACGTCAACAGTTCAACAAGTAGTATTCGAATTCACCTAATTCACGACATTATTTGCCTCGGGCGTTGTCAAGATATCTTTAAAAGTGTAACACACCACACTAGACCCTTAACCTAACCTAACCAGGTTCGGTTCATGGTTGCCCAACTATCATAATATAGTCACGAGATCTGGAGTTAATAAAAGAATAATAACAAGAATATACAATTATTTAACACTAGGTGAAACCGTCAAAATCGACGGTTAATAATATGTTAACGTTAAATAACGCCAATCCAGCTTACTGTAGCATTCATACTATAGAAAATTGTAGCTTACTGGATCGCTCTCGTTTTCCAGAAAGGCTTTTGTTGCGTCGTTTCGACGAACTCGGAGTTTGAGGCTTAGGGTTATTATTCACGATTGGAGAACACAATAAACTTCTTCTTCGTCGTGGGAATCTGATGGCTCAAGAGCAATAACCGGAATGTCACAATCCAAATCCAAGGACATGTCCATCTCAGTTGGCTGCATTGACATCGACGGTTGAGGGCTGGATGTTCTGAGTTTCTTTAATTATTGCCTATAAATTCAGATTTATATTTAAAAACTAATGCTACTCAAGCGATGTTCACATTTTGCATTCTTTGCTAAATTAGGTGATTCTAGGCACTTTTGGGGAAATTCGGTTTTCATTCGTTTTTTTTTTTTGGAAGGTCGTAAGTCAATGGTATTACCTATCCAACCTATTTTCAAAGAACTTAATGCAGTCGCGAATTTGCATAAAGAACGATACCATCTACATGGTTTTTAAGACACCAAAGGAACTTTCCAACGTAATAGAAGTTTGGTAATGTTAGGAGATTACAGCTTGGGTTGGGTTCCATTCGGTTAGCGGTTTTTGTTTGGTTAGCAGTTTAACACTTATGTAGGTTTTAAGTGTATTTTAATACCCACATTACCTACTGAAATGAACATAAAGTTCACAAAATAATAGCATCTTTGGCCATCCCTTTAACGTGTTTGTCAACCTTAACCCTAGGACTGCCCTGGCCTGATTAATGCAAAATTGCTCGGTGCCCTGGCAGTTTTGGTTATTTTGCAGAGGTTTTTATAACAATTTGCAGTGCCTAAAGTTCTGTTGATAACCTAGTCATAATTATTGTTTTTAGCGAATTTCCCTATAGGGAAGTAGCTATTACCGTAGGTCTCATGGTAAGACTTAGGCCCGGGACCGATTTACTTTTTCATTTTGATGTCCCCAGAGGCCAAAAACACCATTCGTTCAAATTTTTATATATGTATATATATATATATATATATATATATATATATATATATATATATATATATATGTGTGTGTGTGTCCGTGAACACGATAACTTGAGTAATTTTCATCCGATTTTGATGAAATTTGGTTTGAAGGTGTAAGGCGGGATAAACTTGAACGAGTTCGTGATCCAGCATGATCGGACCATGGGAACAGTGTTTTATGGGGGGTTTTATGGGGTAAAAATTGGTTTTTCTCACTTTTGACCCTAAAAATACAAAATTTACCAATTTTTCTCCAAACCTTCTTAAAGAGCTTAAAAAAACAAACAATTCAGTATATAAAAGTGTTTTTGTACGGTTATTGGTTACGGAGAAAACTAAAAAAATGGTAAATTTAAAATTCCCATGTTATTCTTATGGAGAATATTGTAAAATGTTGTAGTTTGCTTGTTTATGGATATATTTTGATCAAACTTGGCAAATTTATTTATTTTATAGTAAGCTATCAATAGTTTACTAAAAACACACTACTTTATTAGTTTCCTTGTAGCAGCAAACCTAGGTACTCGTTAAAACTAATGTTATTTAAATAGATCAATTAAAAAACCAATTCAGCCAAATGGAAATTCGCTTAGACGGCAGGTTTGCTGCGGCGGGGGTATTTTTTTTTAGAAAA